CACAATACACACACACCCACTGTCACATATATACCCACTACACACACTGTCCTGTAGATCCACAATACACACACACCCACTGTCACATATATACCAACTACACACACACACCCACTGTCACATATATACACAATACATGCAGCTACCCACTGTGCTATATATACATATTATATACACATCCACTATACTATATATACACACACACACACACACACACAATACACACACCCACTGTCCCATATTGACACAATACACACAATTACTTAATTAGTTCAATTAGGGGCTTCACTAGTCCAGGTAATTAACATCTACACCCTCTTATGACAGAATGCTATAATCCCTGAAGCACTGGGGCCTGGAATACGGTATGGTTATATTGATATTGATATAAGTAACATTGTTTTAAGGTTGGTTATTATTACTTCTACGACTGCATCTAAGTGTCGGAGGGCTTAAGCTGTTAGTGCTTATGGCGAGTGTTGCCATCATTTCCAATAGCTTAATTTCCTTGGATGCAAACAGAGCCACTGAGTTAACAGAACTGTATGACAAGACTGCCCCCTGGTGGACAAGGTGCAGCGGAGCAGTGTATTCCTCTCCTGCAGGCCTCAGACCAGCACTCAGGTACAGCTAAGTACACACTGACAGAGGCACTTGCAGGCTCACAGACGGACCGACAGACTGTCGTCGATACTGCTGAGTACCTGTGGAGGCTTAGTTATCGCTCTACAGAATCTGACCAGCATGCTGACACACTGACTCATTCACACACTGACACACTGACTGGCAATAACAACACTCCGTCTGATTGACACGCACACTGATACATTTGACTGACACACTGACAAATTAAAACAGTGTGACTGTCTGATGAAATCACACACATTTGTTGAAATCACATTTGTTTATTTATGTAAAAAGCCTTCGGGAATGTTTGCAAAGTCATTTACAGAAAAAACTGTCATGCAGATTTAAGGTCAGAAAACCAACAGCCCTATCGTATCTGTGTTCATGTGTGCACAGCAGTGTCTACAAGCCACGCAGGTGTGTCTCAGTGTGTGAATTCAGGGGCAGTGTGAGAGGAGAGGGACAGCAGTGTCTCCAGTCCAGTCAGTGTCTCAGTGTGTGAATTTAGGGGCAGTGTGAGAGGAGAGGGACAGCAGTGTCTCTAGCAGTGTCTCCAGTCCAGTCAGGAGTGTGTCAGTGTGTGAATTCAGGGGCAGTGTGAGAGGAGAGGGACAGCAGTGTCTCTAGCAGTGTCTCCAGTCCAGTCAGGAGTGTGTCAGTGTGTGAATTCAGGAGCAGTGTGAGAGGAGAGGGACAGCAGTGTCTCCATGTCTCCAGTCAGGAGTGTGTCAGTGTGTGAATTCGGGGGCAGTGTGAGAGGAGAGGGACAGCAGTGTCTCCAGTCCAGTCAGGTGTGTGTCAGTGTGTGAATTCAGGGGCAGTGTGAGAGGAGAGGGACAGCAGTGGCTCAGTGTGTTTGTGTGTGTAGTGTTGACTGCGGTAGTGTACATAGTGCAGTCAGTCACTAAAACAGCCTGGTCTCACAGATTTACCTGAACTAGAAGAGGACACCTGATACTATTCAGTTTTGGGGTCACAGGGAGGAGAGGGGCGTCTGATATTTCTACCTCTCCCATGTCCTCACCCACCCTTGTCCGTTGCTAGTGGGGTGGTGGGGGGGGGCGTCGCTCTGTTTTGCAGGGCTGGGAAGGGAGGCGCGATGCCGTCTCAGGAAAGCGGGGTACACCCCGCGCCCCACCACTTCCTGCCTTCAGCCCGTGCTCGTGGGAGGGGGGCTCCGGGGCGGCTGGAGGGCGAGCAGGTCCTCGGCGTGCTGCAGGTACTGCGCCATCTTCCTCCTCGCCGCCTCCCTGCGCAGCGCGTCGGGGTCACCTGCGCCCCGGGGGAACAGAGACCGCCATGAGCGGGGAAGGAGAGAGGGGCCGGCGAGGGACAGGCTTGGGGCAAGACGAGGTCTTGACCCCGTGTTGAAGGTCTGGCCTTTCCAACATCACAGCCTCCCCGGCATTTTTTCCCCAACGTCTTGGCCACCCTCACCTTGAGCCCCCTTCAGCAGGATGTCCACCCCAGCCTCGTACTGCTGTACGGCGGCGCCATAATCCCCTGCCTCCTCCCTCTCCACCGCCAGGCGGAGATGAGCTGCTGCCTGAGCCAAGTAGTCAGCTGGCTCCCTGGCCACGCCCCCTCCCCCGCCTTTCCCCGCCCCCTCCTCCAGCCCCAGCGGGCCACGGGCTGCCTCGGCCACGCCCTCCGGAGGCCCCCCGCCAATCGCAGGAGGCCCGTCGGCGGAGGGGGAGGAGGGGTCCTGGGCGGCCAATGGGAAGGCGAGGAGCTCGGCGTGGGAGGGGCTGTGGGAGGAGCCCGGGTCGGACTGCTCCTCTGCAGAATGAGGAGAGAGGGGTTAGATGCAGGAAAAGGAACAGAGCAGCCTGCAGGCCAGGCCGGGTGATTCAGGCGGAGATGCACCAGTCAGGTGAGGAATGCAGCAGAATCTCAGAACGCCGATTCTGGATTGCAAGTGCTAATGCACAGTCAGTATGGCTGTAGTCCAGTACAGTCCTGGGATTTCTAGTGTGGCTGTGCCAATATTAATAATAATAATAATAATAATAATAATTGCTTACACTTATATAGCGCTTTTCTGGACACTCCACTCAAAGCGCTTTACAGGTCATGGGAACTCTACCAATATTCTTCTGGCGCAGGCAGCAGAAAGGTACCAGTTGAAACATGGCTGTAACAGGCGTACTAGGCTCGAAGCCGTATTGGAGAAGGCTTACTGAATAGTTGAACGGTAAAGGTGGTCTGCAGGAGGTGTCTTGAGTCCTCACCCTTTCTTGCGCAGGGGTCAAACAAGGCCAGATCGGTGTGGGTCAGCGGGCACTTAGGGGCCGGGGCCTGCTCAGACTGATCCTCCCCCATCGAGTCGAACAGCAAATCAAACTCGGAAGGCTCTGCGCCCACGTCTGCCTGGGTCCGACTTTCACCTGCCAGACAGAGAGAGGGGGGAAGATAGGAGAAGGAGAGAGGGATGAGATCCTACTGTCTTCGTGACGGAAAAGACAGAGAGACAGACCTGCAAGACAAACGGAGAGAGGGAGAAGGCTTTAAACCAGTGGCAGTATTGACACCTTTTCGGGTAAACTGGATGAAACAGGGAAACCGATACGATCCCCTCTGGGCAGCAGTCTAGCCCACAGCAGGTCTCGCCAGCTGCCAGGCCTCTGTCCAAACAACGATACAGATGAACCGCAAAGTCAATACGCCTTCGCCCGTTCGCGATTCGGTCTGGCCAGCGGGGCTCTTGAACGGAAGAAGGGGAGAGCGGGATGAAACCGAGCCGCAGCGAAGGTTACCAAGCGAAACGTTCGAGTTAGCCAGCCGCACAGCGGACTGGGACCCGGGACAGATTCGGCTGGCGAGCGAGCCTGCTCCCTGCCCCGCCGCCCCGGTACCACCCACCTCTCGGCCTGGTCCGTTTTCCGTTCTGGAACAAGCGCCCGGGGTTCTGTGGGCTGGGACGGTTTCAGGCTGGTTGACCGGAGAGGGAAAGTGCAGGCATCCGCTGGGCCCGGAGGAGGGATTCACGTCTATTTTATGCGAGTACTACGCAACTGTTTGTTTTAGCTGATCCTTAGTTCGGTTTCAGTTCGTTTCATTTTCAATCTGTAAATTAGTTTGGCTAAGTTTCACCAACTTAAAGCCAATGCATCTATACTTTACCACTATAA